ACAAGGACCTTCCCCCAGAGCCAACAGAAAGAGAAAGACTTCCCCTGGAGGTGGCACCCTGAATTCAGACTTCTAGCCTCCTAGACTGTGAAAGAATAAATTTCTCTTGGTTAAAGCTCTCCATTTGTGGTATTTCTGTTATAGCAGCACTAGACAATTAAGACAAGATTGCAATGATGAAAAATAAATTACAGATGTGTGGTGTTGTAAGCACCTCCTGTGTCTAACAAAGGATTTGACTAGAGAGCTAGTGACTAAGCTGAGACCCAAAGAAAGATCAGGACTTGATTATTAGGCTTAGGCTGTTTTTTAGATCTCAGGTTTAGAAAGCTGAGGTAATCATACCCCTCAGTTCATGGTTCATGACACATTATCATCATTGGTTCACATTAGTGACCTCTCATTACTTTTTAAATCTACTTCTATTTCCATTCTGTTTCCCCCATAGATGGGTAATGATGACAATCTACCCTGTTGTCTAGCTTTTTCAGAGAAAACTGATGGGTTGGGATTTTGCCAAATAGGTATAATGAAAAGATATCGGGGCAACTTAGTTTAAGGGCATTGTAAAGCCTGTTATTGGAAGCTAGACAAGGAGGAAAGAAAGCAAAGGAGAGGGACTAGGGGCAAGTAGTTATTGGACTGGTGGTCCTGATGACCTTGAAATCTCAGAGTACTGTAGATAAAGAAGCAAGATGGAACAGAGGTTATAGCCAGAGAAGTAGGACATGCTTAGTGATTTTGGGAGTGGAGCAGATCTGAGTGAAGACAAGGTCCAAGGCTGAGAAGGTAGGAGTGGGTAACTCAGGTGAAATGTTTAAGAAGCCATTGGAGAAAAGTTCAGGGTGTTAGATGGATCATCAATATGGATCCAGGATAATGGAAGGGATTGAGGTAGAAAGCAAGACTGTGAGCCAGGGGCCAATGTCTTTGAAGAATAAAGGGCAGCTATAAAGTGTTAGAAAAGAGCCCTGGTGGTGCAGTGGTTAAAGCGCTTGGCTACTAACCAAGAGGTTGACAGTTTGAACTCACCAGCCACTCCATGGCAGAAAGATGTGGCAGTCTGCTTCCGTAAAGGTTACAGCCTTGGAAACCCTATGAGGCAACTGTACTCTGTCTTTATGGTCACTGAGTCGGAATCAACCCCATGGCAGTGGGTTTGATGGGTATAAAGCATTAGAAAGAGCCCTGGTGGTGCAGTGGTTAAAGCACTGGGCTACCAACCAAAAGGTTGGCAGTTTGAACCCACCAGTCACTCTGCAGTGAAAGATGTGGCAGTCTGGTCCCGTAAAGATTACAGCCTTAGAAATGCTGTGGGGCAGTTCTACTCTGTCCTATAGGGTCACTATGAGTTGGAATTGATTCAATGGCAAGGTTTTTTTTTAAATAAAGGGTTAAGTAGGTAAGGTTTAATTACATGTATCAGAAACACCAAAATTAATAGGGCTTAAATGAGAAAAAAGCACTGGTGGCACAACGGTTAAGAGCTCCATTGCTGACTGGAGGGACCCTGGAAGACATGGCCCACAGACTCTGTTAGCCCAAAACTAAAACCATTCCCAAGGCCAACTCTTCAAAGATTAGACTGGACTATGGGACATAAAATGATACTCGTGAAGAGTGTGCTTCTAAGCTCAAATAGATACATGAGACTAAATGAGCAGCTTCTGTCCAGAGGCGAGATGAGAAGGCAGAGAGGGTCAGGAGCTGGTTGAATGGACACGGGAAATCCGGGAAGGAGGAAGGTGCTGTTACAGTATAGGGAAAGCAACTAGGGTCACATAACAAGGTATGTATAAATTTTTGTATGAGACTAACTTGAATTGTAAACTTCCACTTAAAGCACAATTAAAAAAAAAAAGATTTATTATAATTAAGACAGGGTTGCATTGGAACAAGGATAGACATGTAGATGAAAGGAACAGATTAAGGAGTCCAGAAACAGATGTACAAATATATATGGACACGTTAGTTACAACCAAATTGATACTGCAGGTAAGTGGTATTGATCA